CTTGATGTTTGAATTTTAGCATGCCATCCTTTCAGCTGTCAGTATTATATTTTAGGATTTATTAGGGATGACAGATTATCTAATCCCCTGCACATTAATAGGAAAGTGCATACTATTTTTAGGCATGGCTGAAAAACACCTGTTTTATTAAAAAACTTGCACGTTTTAAGCTTTGATTAGATTACATTGTCTCTGCATATGTAATACTCATTATTGCTACCTATACTGAACACTATACACGTTTAAAAAAACCCAAACAAACAACAAACTAACTCTTCTCCCTCCCCAAAACCTGAAGAAGTACTGAGTGGAATGCTGGCTGTGGTCTGTGAAGCTGTAATATGTGTTTCATCAATTTTGCATGTGTTCACAAGCCATTGTTATTGCAAAATGTTAATTGTTGGAAGGAAGGCTGTTGATAACTGTTTGGCATGTGGCCTACAGGAGTGGGAGTGTGTGTGTGTAGGATGGGGGTGAAGGTGAAGAGAACTCACATGTGCAGTCTTTCCTAGGATTAGATTCTTCTAAATTCATTACACATATATGTTTATCTTTATGCTAAGATGCTCAGATTTGGGGGTTTTTACTAGAATGCTACATACTCAGTTGACTAACGTGTATTTGCAGTTTAACATAAAACAAGCAAAAAACATCTCCAAACAAAACAAAAGAACTTCCAGCTTTATTGGTGATGAAAAGTACCTGCTGAGCTGTTCGTTTTGTTGCTCTTGTGCTATAGTAAAGATTTTCCTGAAGACTGTGTTGCTAGTTTGTGCTAACCCTGAGTTTGAAGTGCTCTGCATGGCTGGGCTCAGAATGTTACAGGTGGAGACCTCTCTCACGTAAAAGAAAACGCTCTCCTATGTTACCTGAACAAGTGGTACAACAGAACTGAAGCTCCCAAGGGCTGTGTGATAGACGGTGCTGTGCTATTGGGGTGAGAGCTGAAAGCAAGGCAAGTGAGGAATCTTTAGATAGGGGGGACAGGATGTGGCAAACATCAAACAAAGCTGAAGTAGAGGCCTTACAGAAATGTCTGGACAGCTTGGAAAAGTGGAATGGGGTGGTTTGGGGACTATGGTGGAGGAAGCTTGACACAATGGGTTTATGAAGTTAAGGTCTCCAGTTCTGCTGGCCATCCTGTACTCCTGGTAGAAGAGAGCATCCATCTCCTGTGCGTGTGTTTTCCAGGATAGACAGATTCTGGTGCTGCATGATGGGTGTCAGTTCAAAGTGGCTTTTACAATGAACAGTAACAGGGAGTACCTATGTTTTGCATCATCCCAGCAGAAGTTACCTCCCAAGGCTTTGGTGTGTACTTGATGATGTGTGACTTGTGGGGTCAAAACCAGGCTAATATTACAAGAGATTCCAAAAATGTAATGTAATGCAACAGTCACTGCCTCTGTTCAGAAATCTGGGCTTTCTGATCTGCTATGGACAGCAGTGCCTGTGCAATATTTGATTGCATGAAGCACTTTAAGAGCCCTGCTGACTTAAATACTCTTGCTTTCTTGCCAAATCCTGGAGTGTCTTCCTGGGTGTCATATATATTCTCTGTCCTTTGAGATTTTTCTTCTCCTGAAAAACATGGACAATAGGGTTACAATTCCATATTGAAGTGGGTTTTTGGGAGTCTACTGTGTGCCATTTATTTTATTAGCTGTACCTTTAACTTTTGGAATGCATTGTACAGTGCTGGTCTTTGAGCACAATAGGGAAGAAAAAAAAGCAGTTTGATCCTATCAGAGGAATATTTGAACAACAGTTGATGCCTGCATACTTGTTTCTTCTGTGTGAGCAGATTTATGCATAATTTCATTTCAAAAATAAAAAAGGTCTGTAAATAATTTTTTGTAGCTTGCATAAAATCCATATTTCATCTGCAGTTACAATGATGACACATTGTTGATGCCTTAGAATTGAATCTTTATTGCTTTAATGAAAAAATGAATGACTTTATGTGAGCAATAGAGTGTAATGGCTTTTAAACATCTTGAGTAGGACACAGATATTTTAGTTTATAAATAAGCATAATTCTGCTACACAATGATGAAGAGAAACTACATGTATTGTTTTGTTTTCCAGGAGCAAAACAAAATTTCAGGTACAGTAGTGTAATAGATGTTAAACATGCAATTGCAATATATAATATAATATAATAATATAAGTAGATTTAGGTACGTGACAATCTCTAAAATTACTCATTCCTTTATCATGTCTGAGTCATAATGCTTGAAAGAAGAAACACTAATTAGGTATAGAACAGAAAACAGGAATGTAAAATGACTGCCAAATACAGATCTAGCCTAGCCACCAGCCTCTACCACATTCCTCTTAGCAGGAAAATGAGTTAATTCTCCAGGTCTGTGTGAAAAATAAAGAAATGTACCCTGATAGCCTTTCCTTGACACTGAGAAACATCTAATACTACTGAGTGTTTTCAGGGTCACTTGATGGCTTGTCCAAGTTCAGTTCTATTTATTTCTCAAGTATGAGGAAATCTTTTTAGCTGTACAGGTAAGTAAGCAGCAATTTTTAGTGAGGCATCATTAAGTCTTTCCTTAATTGTGTTTGTGTGTAAGTGTTCATTTTAGGATACCTGAAAGTATGTGGCTGAAAACTACAGTAAAGAGGAGTTAAAGAATCTGTTCTTGTAAAAGAGTGATTCCATATGTCATAAAAGGTTTTACTTTTAGCATGAACATCACTCTGCATCATCAGAATCACTTTCAGAATACTCCAGGGTTCTCTATTCAATAGCTGAGTATCTCCTCTGTGCAGCTTCCACACTCCATAAATACTGAGGTGTAATTTGGGACACAACTGTGTTCATTCTTATTTAGACTGGGATTTTAATGGCAGTGTAATTATAGATGAATAGAGTTACCACAGCAGCTTCTCAAAGGGGAAATTGACACTTTATCTCAGATATTTTTCAAGTATGGGGGTCAGTATTTGTGTGCTTACTTGCTTATACCAGAACACTAAACATTGGATTATATGTCAATAATGTTTCAATTTAATAGCTCAATTTAATTTCATATTCATGAAACTGCTTCTTGAAGATGTTGCTATTTTTGTAATCTAAAGCTGAAAGTTCTTCTGCAAGCTGTTCTGCCAAGGATTTTCAGCAGGCCTTAATCTTAACATTTTCCTGTAGTTTACTCTATTTCATGTTTCAAAAGTAATTGGTGATTTCAGGTCAAAATCTTAAATAGATTTCAGGAAAAAGTCTTAAATTAGGTGTTGTGGTTTTTTCCTTCAAAGTATATGTTAGTATTGCATTGGACGTTGTGTGTAGATTAAGGCTGATCCATCAAATAGCCTGTATTTAAATATCTTATATGACTGAATAATAAAAAAGCTCAGAAACAGGCCGAACTCCAAAAGAAAAGACATACTGTCAAATAAAGAGTGTTAACTTTAAAGTTTTTTATTTACAAGTAAGATACATTTTTTTTAACATCTGCTTTTAATAATTGGCTGCCTTTAAAGCATGAAATTCCCCAAATGCGGAATAGGCAATGAGTCTCGTTTTGGGTGGAGCCTCCTGCTTGGCTGGCACTCAATGTCATGGAGTCTAAATACTGCTTAGAGAAACTTTTGCCCGTACCCTCCTGCCCATACTGTTCTCTACCTAATGGTTCTTTTAATTTGTTTGTTAAATTACTTTTAACCTGGAACACTTTCCTCCTGTTCCTCCTGTTTTTCAGGGTGTGAACAGCCCGTGGGGTTAGTTTGTATCACTGTGCACATCATACGCTTTTCCTCACAAGCCCAGACAGAGACATGTCCGAGTTTTTATGTATCTGGAGGAAAAAAAAAGTCTGTATAGCGCATCAGGACAAGGTGGGGGGGGTGGGGAGGGGGTTGTTGCTTTTTATTGTTTTTTATTAAGTTGAGTATTTCTCAAGGTGTGTATTAACATGAATTCGGTAATTCCAGGGGCTGTGTACAGATCAATAGCCAGTCATGCTGGAGATGAGCTGACTGATGTCGAAGAGAAAGCCACAGCTGTTGAAGTTAACTCTCTTGAGTGTAGCAGGGTGCTAACACTGGTTCAGATACAGCTTTTAACTGCACTGGATTGTTTTTCCTGGAGACTGAACACTGTTGTTGATCCAGACTACAATGCATGTGTGAAACTTTCAGCTCCTTTTCTGAGAGCTGGTTTTGCTGTGATCACATGGAATACAGAACGTTAACTGTCCTCTGTTTTCTTAGGATCTTGCTAGATTAAACTTGGAAGTCTTTTAGATGAAATAGGCGTTCAGAGGAGGAGAGAGAGTCATCAGGTTGGGAAGTCATGTCTTATTCCTGATTCAGCTGCTGAGAGGGATCAAAAAGATTTAGTGGATTAGGTTTGGAAAGATCTGAAAGTAGAGTGGTTTTCTTTTCTTTCAGTAGCACTGTGTGAGTGGTTTGTTAGTTTGTTTTAAAGACCAACATAGGGGATAAAAAACTCAATAAAGCTAGCTGCAGTCTGCAAAGGGCAGTCACTTAACCTATTAACCTCTACAAAATGTGAGCTGGGAAAAGCCTTTAATATGGAAAGTTTTGGCTGTTTTGGGTTGTTAGGGTGGGGTCTGGATGAGATGAGGCACCTCATTGCTTATCCATGTGATGTATATCGTGAAGGTCCAATGGGGCCAGTGCAGCTCTGAAATGGAAACCACGACTAGAATAATAAAGGAGAATTTTTGAAAATACAGTAAGAAAATATGGTATTTTCTTTCCCGCACTACTCATCTACAGAGTTTCCAAGTTACAGTTCATCTTCAGTCATCGCTTAGGCCCTGGCTTAAGCCATCAAATCCTTGGGAACCTCTATTGCACAGCTTGCAGATTACTTTTATGCAGCTTTGTCTGTGCCATTTCTTTGGGTTGGGCTTTTGTTTAAGCTTTCAGTGGTGATAAACACGTGCAGGATCATTCTGGAGAGCCAGAACACAGAACTGGTACTGATAATATTTCTCCTTTCTTTTCCTTTTACTCAGACCAACGAGTGGAATAAGAATGACGATCGGCTGCTGCAGGCAGTGGAGAATGGAGACCCTGAGAAAGTGGCTTCACTGCTGGGTAAAAAGGGAGCCAGTGCCACCAAACAAGACAGTGAGGGCAAAACTGCGTAAGTCCAACCAAAATCTCTGATTTAACTTGTGGAAAACCCCAGCCCTACTGACACATGCCACTTCTGTGAATTAAAAAACAGATACTATCCTGAAAATGAAGGTTTCTTTTTCTTCTGAAGCACAGCACATCCTGCAAGTCTTTTGTAATTCTATGTTTAAAATGCTATTTCAAAATCATTGAGGTAACTTGAAGGTTAACAAGCTACTGGGTGGACTGGGAGCATTTTAGGACAGAGTATTTTCAAATTTCACAGCACACTGCAGATTGCGCACTCCAAAAGTTATTAATCTTTGTGGATATTTTTTCCTATGGACATTACTTTAATAAGACAGAAATTTAGATATGTTTTCATCCTAATGGGTTTGACTGAACTGAAACTATGGTGACAGAGTTTTAAAATCCCGTGGATGCTAAGGATTCACTATGTTCCTTGTTTTGATTGAAGCATGCTACTGAAAGTTTTGTGTAAACGAGATTCTTTTTGCTGTATATTTCATATACAGCATTTTCATCTGTTGTTCCTCTTGTTCTCCTGTGAACATTCTGAATTGTGGAAGATGAAAGATTCCACTAAGAAAACTGTAGCCAAAAGATTGTTATCCTTAAATTTTCTTCCGTGTGACACAGAAAGATGATTCGGTGGGTAAGTGAGAAATAGGCATCCTGTGACAAGACCAAAACATTGAGGAAATTCTGGATAGATGTGGGCAAAGAAGGACTTGGAAGGGCACCACAAGGCAGTTTAGTCTTGGGCAGGGCAGCACAAAGCAGTTTGTACCAAACTCTTAAGTTCTAATCAATTATCTCTGGGTTACGTTTATTGAGTCACACTCTGCTTCTTTCTTGGTCTGGTTCAATTTCCTACATCTGCTCTATTTCTGCTCTGCATCTGAGGAAACTGAGTGATGGATTGACTCATAATGACCTACAATTTCTTACTGCAGACGTTCAAGTCATCAATTACATCAAGCGGGCTTTCTCCTCCATACTTTAATAGATTTTTAGTTTTTAAAAGTTGCATACATATGTTTTTCTTTTGTCCATTGAATCTTAAGAATTACAGCTTTATTTAGCATTTCATGTTTTTATGATCAGCATAACTTCAGACCTCAATTCTTAAGGTCTTCTCAAGCTGCATTCTGTATGTAATGTATCCAGTGTAAACCTATTTTGCAAGTTTCATGTATAAATTGATTCTATGGATTTTTCTAGGGAGCCAACCAAGACTGAATTCATCAGTATCTCTTAACTCTTAGAATGTAGCTAGGTATTCGTGCAATGATTTTTCCGCTTTACATGCTTACAGTAAAAAATTCCTGTGTTCATTCTTTATTTGCAGCTACTATGAAGTCAGTAAGCATATATTTATATTAATGATATGGTTACTAATAATGCAGTCGCAAATACTTCTTTCAATTGCTTGGAACAAATGTGAGTTAGTGCTATAAAGACCTCTGCTGCTTCTTGTTCTGTATGCTCATTTAACTGTCATTTACTTTTAAAGTTTTTTCCATGTCGTGGTTTAAAAGGCAGCTTAAGAGAGAAGAAAGAAAAGCAGTGTTGCTGTGATGCAGAAATACAGCATGTCAAGTCTCATTCTGTTTCCAGTGCTTTGGAAAATTTAGCAGACCTGCTCAGGTTATTTCTGTCTACTTTTTGAAAGATAGAGACTGACAGGCATGGAAGCAATGACACTAACCTGGAGAGACATAGCTACCAAAGGTGGCCCAGAAATGTTCTCCAGCATGTCTTATTAATATTGGGCTGTGTCTTGTTTGTATCACTCCAGAATATTTTTTGGTGTGTACACAATGGAGTGCAGCCATCATTTCTGTATAGACTTGTTTCTCCTATGTTTGCAATGTGATGCCAGCACTTCATTCCTGCCATATGTCTGGGTGCCTGACAGCTGTTTTTGCCCTGCCTCTAAGCTCGGCTTAGAGGACTAGACCCTTCTGCAGCCCAGCACTGAGGTCTGTTGGTGTGCTGCAAGAGCATGGTGCTGGTTTGTTAGCTACGCTATCTGTAGCTTCAGCAACTCCTGTGCTGGGAAATCACAGTCTGCACAGGGCTTTTTGGGAGAGCTTGTCCACCCTTGTGCTCACAGTTCACAAAATCATATAATGATTTGGATTCGAAGAGACCTTAAAGATCATCTCAGTCCACAGGCAGAGATACCTACACGTGGCCATGTTTTTGAAAGCCCAATCCAACCTAGCCTTGAACACTTCAGGAATGGGTCTTCCACAACCTCTCTGGGCAGCCCTTTCCAGTGCTTTACCTCTTTCACAGTAAAGGATTTCTTATTACTACCTCATTGAGATCCACCCTTTTTCAGTTTGAAGCCATTGACTTTGCCCTATCTCTATATACCCTTGTAAAAGGTCTCTCTCCAGCTTTCTTGTAGGTTCCCTCTTAGGTACTGGAAGGTGCTACAAGGTCTCTCCAGAGCCTCCTCCTATGAGCCTTGCACATGGAAAATAAGGCAATGATTGGTGACAGCCAACATGGCTTCAATAAAGGCAAATAATGCCTGACAAATTTGTTTGCCTTCTGTGTTGAGTCACAGCTGTGGTGCATGAGAGAAGAGCAACAATATCATCTGCCTGGACTTGTGGAGCACTTATCACTGTCCTGCACAGCACTCCTCTCTACAGTCTGGAGAGACATGGATTTGCAGGATGGACCAGTGCTCCCTCTCATGAGGGCTGAGTAGGGAGGCAGAATCACCTCCCTTGACCTGCTGCACACAGAATTATTTTGATGCAGAGCAGGATATGATTTCTGGGCTGTGAGCTGACGTTGTCAGCTCATGTCCAGCCTCTTGTCCCCCAGCTCCCCAAGTCCTTCTTGGCAGGGCTGCCCCTTGCTCTCTGCCCATTCTATGCCCAGCCTGTGTTTGTGCAAGGGTGAAGGACCACCACTTGGCCCTGTTGAACCTCATGAGGCTCATGTGGTTTCGCTGGGGATGTTTTAGGAAGTTTTCTGCAGTGCCATGTGGGAAGGGAGCTCTTTGGATGAGTTTTCTATTGATCCCTGTGAGTATATATTGATGCATTTGTTTACTCAGTTAGGATGAAGCTGACTAACCAGAAGAACGTGGTGGAGTCAGTTATGTAACAGAGTGCATAATGTGATTAAAGACTTTGGAATGTGTTTGAAAGCAAAAAGGAGAAACAATTACACATTGCAGATACAAATACAGGTTTGTTAGCTCCATCATTGTCTGTACCCTTAAGGTGTGACACATTTCTTTTAAGACTTTTCTTTCTCATTCTTTTTGTCAACAGCCCGACAAACAAAATGTTTAATACTGTCCAGACTGTTGAGATATAGTAATATAGTACATTATTTTAAACAGAAGGTGGACAGGATAATTTTTCATGCTTGAAGAGGTACTTTTAAGTTTTTGATTTATAATTAGATAGCTTCCTATTATAAAATGCTTGAACTGAAAGGAACAGAGACCAGAACTTAGAATATTCTTTGTTTGGCCTGTTGAATACTGTATGTATCATCCCACTGGGTCCTGCTATGGCTCAGTTTTGGACATTACCACCTAAATTTCCTCTGTGTCCTCTTTAGTCCTTGTTGTTTAGGTCCTTTACTTTGTGACTTGTTGAGTTGTTGACATGCAATAAAATGGAGGTGCTTAAAATAATGAGGTCTAGGTACCTCATTAATTTAAGGTATCAGTACTAAAGCAGGTATTTCTTAGAGATAATATTTACAAATTTTCACTAGGAGGTGTAACCCCTCAGCAGTATCTCTTAAAAAAAAGGTATTTAAAAATACCTTGTCAGAGTAATGAAATTATAGTTTTTTAAGACTCACTTGACTTTCCACACCGTCACCCTACCTTTGACTAAGTTCTTTCTATAAACAATAAATCACTTTTAAGGCCATGGAGCAAATCCACCTTTGGCATAAGTTGACACAGTCCCATTGTTGCTCCCACTTACATAGCACAGACTATTGCCAAGCATAGTTGTAATAGAACCTATCTGGAAATCTGACTCTGTCCTTGTAGTCTTACTTTGCCAGATAGGTTGGTTGTTTTTTTTTCTTTTGGTCCAGCTTCCTTAAACAACAAAATGAGGCTTTCCAGCTTGGAATTTGATCATTTAAATCCACTTAAACTAACAAAAAAGGAAAAGGGTTTTCAAAAAGATCTCTTTCAGGAATGACAGGATTGGATTCATTCACATGCTGCACTTTCCACAAGATCAAGTGTTCAAATGGGCTGTTATTTTAAGAAGCTACTGCCATTATTGAGGGGAAGTGGAGGGATGGGGGTGGGGGACTGATTTTGGAAAGGATTTACAGTGTATAAATGGTAGCACTTCCTTGTCCTGAAGTTATTTTGTCAGTGTGCCAGTCCATTACTGCCATGTTTGCATGTTTCTGCAAGGTACTAAACTAGAATTAAATGCTTTTGGCTATTAAGTGAAACAATAGATCTCTGTACATTTTTTGAACTGCAATTGAATCAGCTGTTGTTTAATAAAATTACTCTAACAATAGTACAAAAAAGCTTTAGAAATCTTAAAGAGCAAATTTGCTCTTTAAGAACTCTTTCACAAAACTACTGCCAATAGTACTTAATAGAAAAGATATCTTTTCGTTTGAAAGATACTGTTCATGCCTTGAAGGCTGAACTAAAAATAAATTCAAGAGCATATTCCAACTGCAAATGCTTGATATTTATTATGTACATAGTATTCATTTTTGTTTCTTCCTTTTGGATCTTACTGTATAAGGAGGTGGGGGTGAGTGGCATGAAGAACATCACTTTTCAAAAAGTAGATAAAGTTTTAATTACCTTTGAGAAAGAATGTTTCCTTGTATATAATAATATTTGCCTTAAAAGAAGCTATTGGAAGGACACGTAGAATGATAGAATAATCTGGGTTGGGTGGGACCCACAAAGATCATCAAAGTCCAAGTCCTGTCCCTGCACCAGACACCTCAAGACCATGTGCCATGTGTCTCACA